ACAAAGAGTTGATGATGATTGTTTGAGATTATGAGTATCATAGTATTTCAAATGATTATGTAATAACAACTGATCCAATTATAGGACAATATTTGATATGACAGCTTCAGTGACTTTAATCTGCCATTAGTCACCATAATCTTGTTTCTCATAATTCTCCATTTTAATTCCACTTTTTTTACAGCTGGGCTACAAGAAAACGATATTATTGCTCAACCGGTTGAGGTGCCAAAAGATAAGCTGCTCGGCGACCTTCTCCCGACTGGCTTCGACGAAAAATCTTGCGTCAGTAGGTACCAATCACTGTTATACCGACGAGGGACTCCATGGAAGCCTTCCCCTTACCTCATATCCAAGTTACGAAGCTACGAAGCTCTGCACAAGAAATGTGGGCCCCACACCTACCAATACAACCAAACTGTCAAAAGTCTCGAATCTTCCGGCAAACACAGCTTGGACACGCTCGATCACTGCAAGTATGTCGTCTGGGTATCCTTCAGCGGCTTGGGTAACCGAATTCTGACTCTGGCTTCTGCTTTTCTTTACGCGCTTTTAACCGAACGAGTCTTACTCGTCGACCGTGGTCTCGACATTCCGGATCTCTTTTGCGAGCCCTTTCCGGAAGCTTCTTGGCTGCTGCCTTTGGACTTCCCGTTGACCGACAAATTCGACGGCTTCAACCAGAAATCGGACGAGAGTTACGGAAATTCGCTCAAGAAAAATGATTCGTCTGTTGCAAAAGTAGAACCGTACGTCTATCTTCATCTCGTTCACGATTATGACCACCAAGACAAGCTCTTCTTTTGCGATCAAGATCAAGCGCGTTTCGAAAAGATACCGTGGCTAGTAATGAAGACTAACAATTACTTCGTTCCCTCCCTTTTCTTGATTCCTTCTTTCGAGCGTGAGCTCCACAATCTCTTCCCGAATAAGGAAACTGTTTTCCACTTCTTGGGTCGATACTTGTTCCACCCGACAAATCCCGTGTGGGGGCTCGTAACTCGATACCATGAAGCTTACTTATCCGAGGTGGACGTGAAAGTCGGGCTTCAAATAAGGGTGTTCGATTGGGAGCCTGGCCCATTTAAACACGTCTTGGATCAGATACTTTCGTGCACGATTAATGAAGATATATTGCCGGAAGTTAACCGAAAGGAATCTGTATATAATAAACCTCCGTTCGGAAAGAAGAAAAATGTAGCCGTGCTTGTGACGTCTTTAAGCCCTGGATATTTCGAACAAGTGAGAGACTTGTATTGGGAAAATCCTACTTTCTCGGGCGAGATTATTAGGGTTTATCAACCGAGCCACGAGGGGTATGAACAAACTGGAAAGCGGAATCACAACCGAAAGGCGTGGGCCGAAATGTATTTGCTGAGCTTAACGGATAAGTTAGTGACGAGTTCTTGGTCGACTTTTGGGTATGTGGCTCAGGGACTCGGTGGGATCAAGCCGTGGATACTATACAAGCCGGAAAATCGGACCACTCCGAATCCGCCATGTCGTCGGGCCATGTCGATCGAGCCTTGTTTTCATGCTCCGCCGTTTTACGACTGCAAGATGAGAAGAGGTGTGGATACAGGTGATATTGTTCCTCATGTGAAACATTGTGAGGATATGAGCTGGGGGCTTAAGCTGGTTGAAAAGTATTAAATTTTTAAACAGATAATCTATTTTTTTTCTTTATTTTTTTTAATCTTATTTTAGACCTCTGAAGATGGATATGGTAGTGTTTATCTGTGTACCATCTAGTCAGAAACTTGGTACGGCAATTGTAACGTCCTATCTGAAGCTGGCCTTGGATTATAAATGATGATTATCACCAGTAAAAAAACCATGCTAGAACAAAAGGATTATTTATTAGTTATATAATTGATACTTGATAGAGCACCAGAAAGTTCACACTATTCAAGAAAAACACCATCCGAATGTAAGTGAATAACGATCGACATAGATACTACGGTTTTAAGGTCAACGTGGTGATTAGAATTGACACTCAAGAACCAAACGTTTTTCAGTTCTTCCTTCCTTCACTCAAGATGATGTGATAACCGTGCCTGCATTTGCGATAGCGAAATGAAATTTAGAACATCATTCAAAATGAGATGTACGGCGAGAAAATAATTGAAAAAGAAAGAAAAAGGACTTAGACCAAAAACTCACGTAGACTTGAAAGGTGCGCTAGTTACCCCGACAGGCGTGTTGAAGGCAACCTCCTGAAAAGGGCCAGCCATCTTGCCACGTGGGAACCATCCAAGGTCTCCACCTTTCTTTCCCGAAGGGCATTCTGAATATTCTGCAGCTATCTGAATACAATATGAATTTAAGAAAGAAAGCAGGGATTAAAACGAGGCATCCGCATAACCCCTTCGATGCATCTAAGAGGTGCAAAATCTTAGGCTTTTATGATTGGTAAGCATTGTACAGTTGTTTTCAAATACCATTTCCTATTTCCTACTATAGTGTTTGTCTCTTGCAGTTTCGTTGGAAAATAAAGTAACTTTAGTTATCACTTTTCAAAATATAGAAATCCAGACAAGAAATCAAACCAAATATACTGTATATTTTTCGTTAAAAAAATAAATAAATCATATGACAACAACAGAAACTAGAGTAGGTTTAGTGCCCAGACATAAAGCGGAAGCAGATCATGCGCAACCAATAGAAAAATGCAAACTGATCATCATCCAGCCCATTCTTAGCACAATATAAACCAATAACAAACATATGTTAAAGTGTTAACAATACCTTAGCAAACTCAGCTGGTGGGACCTTGTCTCCATTGCTGAGCCACCCGTCCTGTAGCTTCTTATAAGCCTCGTTGATCTTTCCTTGCTTCTCACACAAAATATGCCTTGCTAGATAATGTCAAGGGTGGAAAGTAACAATTAAAAACCTAAAAATCTAATGGGTAAGTACTAAGTTAGCACCATCCAAACAATCCAAAACTTTGATACAGATCTTTAAGAAAAAATTGAAAAATAAAAGAAAAAAAAAGAAACATAGAAAAATACAAACCTTTGACATAAGTGCAAGTTCCAAGACCATCACCTTTCCCTGCTTTTCCTTTACCCTTTGATCCACCATCATCACATGCACCTGCTGCCTGCTTTCCCTTACCTTTTCCCCCCGATTCCTTAGGTTTTGAATCCTTTCCCATTACTTCACAAAAAGGTACTGAAACATAAATGAGTTGCCCCAAAAAATATAACAGAACACGAGGAGGACTCAAACATTTGTGCATTCAATATTTCGTCTCCATATCCTACATACAAACAAATACGAAACAGTTCTCCAACTCGATGATCAGAGGGCACTACTTAGATCATGCCCACACTCTTGCTACTATTTTGCTTCATGCCAATTTAATAGACAGAACCTTCAGTCATACTATGGAAAATCGGGTTCCTACTTAATAATCCACATCACATTAGCACGCTTAATAAACAAAACATTCTTTATCTATTATGCACTTCACATTAACATATCCTCAACATGCCTGCCAAGCAAGAAGTTCACTCACACACAGTTGCTGGACATATTTGCTTGAGTCCCCAAAACCAGCATATGTGTATATAAACATAAATTCTTGTGCGAATCAGCTTAATCGTTCGGCGGGTCAGCCCATTATATTTCTTAACATACATCTAACTGAGACACACACACACACAACACACACACACCAAAAAGAAAAAAGGATGAATCAAAACACCAGTACAAAACAATTCGTGAAAACCCCATCTCATCACTAAACCCATATGTCAAAAATGGGGCTCGAAAACATCTAAACATGTAGAACAAATTCGGGCGAGACTAGGTTAATTATAACCGAGTTCCAGACATTTACCCACGAAAATTCCGAAAGACAAAAACAAGAACTCCCTATTCCCTACAGACCAGAAGAAAGAATGGATCGATTTCTACAGAATAACATGAAATCAGATGAAAAAAATAGAACTAAAAAGAGCCCAGCTTGATGAAACCTCACCTTCGAATCGACGACTGTAGAGGTATGCTGCGGGAAGATGAAGCTGAGAATAAGCTTTGAGTGACGATGATGACGAGTAATTTATATATTAAAAAAAATAAAAAAAAACATGTGGAAAAAAAAAAAGAAAAAAAAGGGAGTGGACAACACTCGTATTTAAGAAATACGTTTTCTATACAATTTGTATAGATGTATAGAAAACGTATTTCTTAAATATATTTTTTCAGATTTTTTTACAAAAAAAAACGTATTCAGTGAATACATTTTACAATTAAAAAAATGGTAAAACGTATTTACTAAATACAGGGTCCACATTTGTTAGTGTATTTTTTTTCCACAACTTTTTTTTTTTAATTTTCTGGTAAAAAATTCCGATGACGACCTCCAAATATATAATTAATGGATTTATTGTTGTAATTGTGGTTTTGTTTTGGCTATATTGAATTTACATTTTTGCCCCTGAATTGTGCACATTGATATATTATTGTTATTACTATCAATTTCAAAATACATAATAATATTACATTTAAATGTTTTATTTCTTCATTTTCGTCCATTTTATAATTTACAGAAAAATAAAAATCAAGTTAATATAATAGGTATAATTTCATTGAGGAAAATGTGAAATCCAATGCAAGGTCTATTAAACAGTAATTTAAAAGTTTTATAAAGCATTGGTTATATAGTAAAAGTGTATATATTTATTCATGAAACTTATAGTAGATTCTTTGGGTAAATTGCACCAAACCCCCCTGTAATATACTAAATCTGCGCGTTTTCCCTCGTAATTTAAAAATTGCGTCAAACCCCCTCCTATTATATATCTGCCTGCACACTCTCCGTTTGATGTTAACACCGTCACTTTACTACTGACGGTGTTACTTTTTTTCGTCAAATTTACCATTATACCCTTACTTTATTTACCTTTATGCCATTATACCTTTATTTTATCACTGAATTTACCATTATGCCATTACTTTATCACTGAATTTACTATTATGCCATTACTGTCAAATAATATATATATATATATATATATTCTAAATTATATATAAATACGTTATATATACATATATAATATATAAATACGTTATATATATATATACGGTTATT